CTACATGAGGAAACTTTCCCTCTTAGCTACACTGGACATACAAAGAATAGAGAACATACTGTTAGTAATACCTAATGCTTACATTACGCATCCAGTTCAAGTCTCATTATGTGAGGCTTTCTATAAACATGAGTTTTGGTTGCTACACGTCTCTCTTAGCAAGCCAACAATGTACCAAGACGCAGAACTAATCAAGCAAGCCATACCTCTCGCTTCATCCTTTAATCTCTGTACAGAAACTAGCAATGATTCCTTGTCATCCAGTTCACTTTCTAAAAATGCATTTCTCTCAATAGCTTGGTTCAGCCTTTGTTCAAAGTCTTCCAATGAAACTATTGTTGCCCTAGAAACAAAATCCAGAATATTAGGTTCTTCAGCTCAGACAACATAAAAGCGTATTCAAAAACATAATAGAAGAAAAATGTTAGCAGGGTCTACATTCAAGTTAGTTTGAAAGCTATGGAAATGCTTCTTAGAATGGACTAATAAACTCCAAAGAAGCAGGGAATAAGATGAAAAGAACATGATAGCATCTGGCTCTCAGAGATGTACCAAAGAGCTGGGAAAGAGCCAGTCCAGCACACCCATCTCCATTTTTCCCAAGCCATGCTCCAAAGCTATACATTTAATCAGTGCATTAGCTCAGGTGGTGCTGTACTCTCCAGAGCTCTGGACAGGCAACAGCCCAGCGAATGCAGAAAGCAGGGCACTGGGATATTACCTAAGACCTAATTCGTTCCATGATTTTAGTAGGATAACTCATGTGTGTCAAAAGTTAGTCATGAGGTTATGAGCCTTGTGGAAACAGGGCCGCAGCTCTCAGATCTTTTTGCCAGATAGCCAGAGGCTCATTCCTGGTCCCACTGAATCAATGGCAAAATTCCCATTCAGCAAAACGGAAGCATGACCTACTCCAAAACTGGGCGTTTCTAACAGCAGCCTGTTCATTTTATGCATTTATAAAGAACACATTTGTTCCCTACAGTCATTAAGCTGTTATGCAAGGGAAGAGGAGACTCCTTTGGCCTGTTTTATTTAAAAGGGACTATGTAAAGCATTAGCTTCTTACTTCAAAGGGGCTTTGAGCTACAAGGATCACAAATACATTGTAAGAGTCACCTAGCTGGTAGTACCAAAAGCAGTGCACTGGCCTGGCTTGCTCTGAGCCTGCTTGCACTGCTTGTTTCTCACAGGAACACGAAGCACTTTGGTCCCCCTGCCCTTCTTGCTGTAACCTAACACTACCAGCTGATGGAGGTGAACTGCACTGTTCAAAGAATCAAATGTCTTGAGGTTTGTTTGGATTTTTTGAATGTGTGTTATTTTCCCTTTTAAGGAATAATAAAATGATCAATCTGAGTAGCAAAGAAAAGACCTAGTGAAAACTAAGGAAAGAAGAGTTTTGCAGCCTTCACCTCTTTGCACGTTCCAAGTCATCATTGGCCTGCTCCAGCTCCCTCACATACTTATGCAGCTGATCTTTAATGGCCCGTGTCTGGCTCAGGTCATCCTCTAACAACGACACTTGCTTGTAACTTTGTGCATATTGGTGCTCCAGTTTCTCCTGAAAGAAAGAAGTAGTGAGATAAATATCAGTCACATACACTCTCCAAGTCATCAGGAGTAAAATGGGACAAAGAAAGCAACATACTCGCTGCAATCTGCTCATTTGGGATTGCTGGTAATACAGAGCAAAACTCAGAGAGGTAGAAAGAACACGCTCTGAACATCAGAGCTGGACACAGTATAAAATCACAAATGCTGCATTGTGCACAGACATCTCGCCATGACACAGCTGGCTGCTCAGAGATGCATCCCTGCATCTGTTTCCAACAGCCTGCACTGACAGCTGCTCTGAAGCCTCAAACATCTAGGAAGCCAGAGAGAAATCTAACTGCACAGCCTCCCCTTCAGTGCCTCTCCCTTGACAATAGCCACACTGTTACCAGAAATTGCCTGACATCTCCATTAGCAAAAATGAGAGCCACTGAAATCCGTTACGAAACCTCCAGGTCCACAAGCTCATCTTTGAAAGACTGGAAGAATTCACTCCCAAACACGCTCTCACCAGCTCTGAGGGTACAGATAGAGGCTTATGGAAAAACTACTGACCTTATAAAACACGTACTGACCTTACAGATACAGCTGGGACTGGATATGGGAACAAGTAATCACCATAAACTTTACTTCCACTGGGTAAGTTTCCAAGCTTTGCCTTCACTAAAATAACCTAAGACTACCAAAAATGATGCTTTTCCAAGATTCCAAAAGAGGCAAGAACTTGTTAACATAGAGGCATCAATAAAAAGTTACCTTCTGCACATGCAGAGCCTTATGCAATTCCTGTCTCCACAGATACGGCTGTTAAGAATTAATTAGGAGATTCTCTCCAAAAGATGTGCATAAATCACCCATCTTCAGCTTTCTTTAAGGTCTCATAAAACCAAGGAGACCTTCTGGGCAAAAAAACTAGTTTGCAAAGAAAAGATGACAACGCAGTGGTCTGACAAAACATACTTGTGTTGTCCACCCTGTTGCTATGCTGATGTTGCCTGCGTAACTAATAAAGCTACTACTTGACGAAGCCTAGAGAATTCAAACAAATGAGCACAAACTCCATGACGAAAGTTTCATGATGCGAACAAGAAAAATTCCACCAGAAATTTCCCCGGTAAGCCCTTGCTGGCCTTATTTGGAGTATGTGCCATACTTCAGTCTGGATCTTAAACAGACAACTCCTTTACTTCCTTTGGATATTCAGTGACTGAGAACAGACCAGACAATCTAAAATGAGATCCAAGACATACCTGTAAGAGGAGGCAATGCTATTACAGAAAAGACCTACCTTTAATGTTTCCACTTCATACTTCAGTCTTTGGTTATCTGCTTGCAAATCTCTATTCCTCTGTTCAGCTTGCACTAGCTGTGCCTCCAACTCAGCTTCTAATTCTCTGCTTCCCTCCTGAAATTCAGCCAGCTCTTCACGAGCTTCCTGGAAGCTGTAAGGAAAGGATTTAATCAGTTGAAAATCCAGCATCTCCCAAGTTAAAACAAAATCCACTGCTCTTCCAAAATAATAAGTTCAAATAACAGGAGTTTTAAAGTACTTAAGTCATCCATAGACCTCTAAGAGGAAAAAGAAAAATGGGGAAACAGAGAAATTATATGAAGATTAGCTATAAAAGGAAATTAATTCTCTTACATCAAAACAAACAGCTACATTAAACATGTGTGAATACAAATCTGTATCAAGGCTATTGACAGGATTCATGGGAGTCTGAAAACCACTTGTACTCCATTAGCTTTCACTGCTAGCAGACTTGATTGAGTCGATGAATTAAGCAAACATTTAGCCTGATTTTGGTCAAAAACTGTAAGAGAGAACAACAGTTTCTGGATCTCTGCACTACCTGGAAATTTAAGATTCTTGCAAAGCATGAAGGTTTGAATCCTAGGGTTACTGAGCACTTCGGCAGGAAGCCATCACATACCTACCTTACACCACTGCAAGTTATTAAATACTAGAAGTAGGTACTCCACATACTTTGCTTATTAAATTTGCATCTTTACCATATGTAATAGGTCAGCTCTTAGCAAGCAGCAGAGAAAACTAACAAGGCTTTAGGAAACAACAAATCCGTTGGTGTCTAAGACAGAATTTTCTGATACCCAAGAACAGCTTAGGGTTCTCCACATGGACAGGCCCCTCCACACGCCCAACACCTCCCCCCCAAAAAACCCAAAACCAAACAAAAAAGCAAATTGCATCTTGGGTTCTTTGGGCTTGAGAGAGGTTTAACTGGCTTCATCTCAATTGCACGTAAGTAACACTGAATGCAAAGAAAGTATTCCAAAGAAAATAAACGGGGAGCGTCCAATGCCCCCCACTCCAAAAATAACCCGATCAAACCACACCCCACCCCCACAAGAAGCACAGCATTACTCAAGACAGCAACCTCTCTTGTTGTTTTTGGTAACCAAAAAGCCCTGTGCCCCTTAAAAGATGCAAACCACTAGTACAGGCTGGACTATGAGGTACAATACACTTCAATAAATTGCAGCAGATACCAAATCAGCCACTTCTCATACCAGTAATTCAACTACAAGAAGCTCCAGGGAACAGTAATGATATAAGGCAAGCCCAAAGGCGCCTTCTTATGATAAAGCGTCAAGATACTACTTAAGGCAGCGCTTTAATTATACAAAGATGCACATGATCGCAAAAGGGCTCTGGTCTTGCTCAAACATGCTCGAAACATAGCCTGGAGTTCATGGCATGGTAACACTGTGCAAGAAATACTCAGCTCTCACAAGGCTGGAAATTTTAAAGCTGGAAATGCAGATATTCTTTCTAAAATATCTAATACCCATCTTGGTGTAGTCTTGCAGAGAAATAGATTAAACAACATTCTAGTCATTAAGAACCAAATCCAGCCTGCAAATCTACAACAGTACCTTTGTTTGTACTTCAAGGAAAGCTCTTTCCAATATGCAGTTTCCTCCTTTGGACTCGAAAAAGTCGGGATTTCTTCACTGTCCATGATCAATACGACCTGCAGGACACAAACATAAGAATATACTCAGGATAAATAGGCAGGTAGACCCCCGAAACTGCTGCTAAGTACTGGGCTTCATCGCCATGGCCTTTCTGACAGCGGCATCCAGACTTGGCACCTGCAAGCGGGATGTTAACGATCCCTAACAAGCATCATTCAGCACGGAGACCTGCCGCAACAAGCAACGTAATTTTACCCAGCTTCTGGAAATGCTCGTGCAGCAGCCTGAAATAAGACCAGAAATTTTGGCTGCATTTTGTACCTGCCACTGAAACAGCAGTTAATGCCACAAGCTCACTTAGGACCACAGTTGATAAGGATATTAAAATTTACAGCTATCACAGCTTCCACTTTTGTTCATAAAATGATCTTAAAGAGATTGTGCCTCCTGTTGCCAACACAGTGATGCACACTACAACTCCTATTAGAGCTGCAAAGGCATGTAATGAACAAGGACAAACACTCTGAGGTCAACCGCTAACACGCTGTGCTGTGGAGATTAAAATTCAATTTACTCTTCCTACGTTGAGTCCTAGCTAATTCCTGCTTTTGTGTAAAACATGCAGGTAACAGAAGTTATCCACATAGTTTTGCTCCCTCTATCCTCTCAAACAGACACAAGAAAGATCAGCCTCTCTCACAGAATTACATGGTCACGCTTCCAACCTGGAGGTGTTCAGAAGACCAGCTTCCCACACCAAGGCAGGGGGACCAAGCTCTCTGGATAAGGACCTCCTTTCTTCAGCTGCTTGGACCACTGGATGCCATTTGCATCGCTGCTCGGCTATTAGCCAGCATAAGAAACACAACCCAACACGTACTTTTTACACTGCTACCCAGTAACGGAGCAATACACAGCCCAAGGGAACACAAGACATTTGAGGCCTTGACACACACCAGGTCTCAGAAGCTGATGAAGGTGATGAAGTGGTGGTCATGGTTCTGCCATGCGCAGCAGGGCCAAGAGAAGTTCGGACAGGCACAGTTCCTTACCACAGCCAGGAGATGCTCCACACCGTGTACCATTTCTGAGCTCTCCCCAAGCAATCCCGCAACTCTTTTACAAGTAGGCATCTTTTTTTCTCCCCAAAAGCCAAGACTTAAATTCTGTTATTAACATCCAGAAAAGAATAAGCTGAAACCAACCTCTTCTCTGTTTAAAGCAGAGGCTTTAAACAATGCTTGTATCATGCTCATCAATCAGCAACAGCTGACCTAGAAGTCCTGACTTTCACACTCTAACAGGCATCAATAGCCAACACTGTCCCTTCAGGCCTAAAATTGTCATGCTAATATGTCCTGCATCTCAGTGACCCACATTTTAGACACCTAAAAGTGGGACAAAACAAACCCACGCTTTCATCAGAGGGCAGACAGGCTCATTTCAGAGACTGGCACTTATCTCACAAATAAAGCAAGGCAGAACTGGCACATTTGTTCTTCAGCTGAGACTGCAGCTGCCACAATGTAAGGGCTCAAGATCAAATTTATCCAGAGGGTGCTAGGCACGTCAAAACCACCCCAACTCTCGCACTGTGTTTATTTAACTTTACAGCTTTATTGCAGAAGCAAGTTTGTCATGAATGAGGTCTCCATGCTGCCCAAGAGAACTGATGGTGTCTCCTTTTCTGCATTGCCCTGTACGGAGAAAATAAGACATACATGTGGAGCCATTATAATTCCCCCAGCACATACATTTTCAGTCCTGCTGTACCTCTTCAGATAAAAATTTCTTTGGATGTACTTGCTTCAGTTGTTGCATCTGTTACCACGGCAGCTTAATCACAACACAGGGACAAATCATAAGTCCTATGCAAAAGACTGTTCCCAGTGGAGGTAGAGCCCATGAATCACCTCCCAAACTGTCACGGTTTCGCAGCCGGGTGCATTAAGGCAAGTAGACATCTGCTGTGGCTCAGGCACGTGTCAGGCAGCTCCTGAACTGCAATTCAGATTGCCAGGAAGAGGTGAACAGCTTGGCTCGCCTACCACTGTGTGCTGTCCGTAACATCAGTCCTGCACTGATCTCACTGAAACGGCTTCAGTAAAAGCCTTCTGACCTTTCCCTCTAAGGCACTCGGCTCTAAACTGGCACACTCTGACAGGCTTAAATCAGCAAGCAGCACATTCTCCCCAAAATAAATGAGGCGTAGCACAGAACGGGGTCAGCTCCCACAGTTCCAGAGGAGCTGATCTCAAAAGGTAAACATCCAGGAAGCCACTCATCAGCAAAATTCAGGATGTGTTTAGAAAAAAGTTTGTACAAGGAAGCATCTTACATCATTTCCTAGAAGTAGCCACAATAAGGTATGTCTGGGCCCAAGACTCCTTCCTGTCTGTGCCTTGGGTGTTCCAAGGCACACCCTTGGAAACAAACATCCGAGGAATCCCTGCAAACATGGCAGTCTGCGCGAGAAGCTGCCTGGGACCCACAAGTACTTACAGAGTCACCAAGTGCTGATGCAGGAGATTCCGCCCCCCGCCGCCC